AGGCTTTTCCTCCAGGTGTACGGAGCACACATGCCAAGGGGACAGCTTGGTGATCTCAGCCCTGTCATCCCTTAACTAGCCACCATGAACATGATGGCCCTGCTCTCTGAACTAGCACCTACATGACGGAGCTAATGAGGATTACCTCTAAATCTTTTTACCCTGCCTCACCAGCCTAGGAAGGAGGAGGGAACTGTTCCCTAAGACTTTCTCCAGAGAAGCAAGGGGCTCTGGGGAAGTGGGTAGTGGGATGAGTGAGCTTAGTATGAGAAGCCAGAGAAGAAAGATGGAAAAATCAATGAAATGAGTTTCTAACTGTGAGGTAAAAGACCGCCGTGTCGACAGCCTGTCGCCTGCTGCAAAATATGAGCTGCCCAAGTCCACGGTGGCTGACAGTGCATATAGCAGCCACTGTCCTCCCTCAGGCCCCCTCCCACCAGCCCCTTCTCCAGCTGCCCTGGCCTTATTATTGTCAGACTTTCACCAGCGCTCTCTCAGCTCACTCTCTACACTGGTCTACTTGCCTGGATTTTTCAATCCGCCTTTTGGGCTCTTAACATAGGGCTAGCTATAATCTCTGATTCTGGTGTATCTTTCTCCCCTGGCTCTGTATTTAGACCTTTCTGCAGGTTTCAATCTGAGAGCTGTGGTAAGCTCTACATCTCGTTTCCTGCACATGTCCTAGATCCCTCAGTTTCATTCAACAATGGACTATCAAGCATCAAGCCCATCCTTCATAGGGCTCTTTAAATCAAGGTGTAGGCAGCCGTATTCTGTGCCTCCCGCTGTTTCTTTGGCCAATGTGGTCAGTTTCTCATTTGCAATTACCTGCATCAGGACACTATTTAGGATGGGTCTGGCTTTTATTTGAACTCTTTGTGACCAGTGTTTATTTGAATGTGACAGACTCAGCTGTGGTTTGGAAATGGTGTAGGAATGCTACTTCTAATTTAGCCTACCCTAGACACTACTCCTTTCCCTATCCTCCACAGCTTCTCCTAGGGCCCATAGAACTGTACATTCATGTTTTATCTTTTGAAAAACTAACCCAAACCCACTGCCGTGGAGTCAACTCAGGGTGCCCCTCCATCTTAATCGGTACACATTGTAGGACACATGGTACATTTGAACCACCAACCTTTTAGTTCCTCCTAAATCTCATGTCTATCCCGTCTTCAAGTGTGCCACTAGCACAAAGTCTTTCCTCTCCCTGCCTTAGATCACACTGTCACTGGCTTAACTCTCCTCTAGTGCTTTCCTCCTATTTCTGATTCCTCAACTTGTCTATTTATGAAAACACAGGCCTGGGGGCTGAGGAAAAGATGATGGGCAATTCTTTTCCATAGCTTCTCACTATTTGGTTAGTAGGTATTTATTTATTTATTAGGCATCTTCTATGTGACAGACATCACGCTTCTGTCAACTACAACACGTAGCAAGCCTATGAACAACAGCTCTGAACCCTACCCTATCCTGTGCCGTCCTCATCATCTCTGATATACCTGAGCCCATTGTTACAATCACTGTGTCAATTCATCTTGTTAAGGGTCTTCTCTTTTGCTGACCCATGGAATGTTTTGGGAAACAACTAACTAGACAGACTGGCCCCTGTCTGCACAGCCATCACAATGAACCTGTTTATTCTGACAGCTGAGTCTTTCCAACCAGCATTTCTTTTTCCCTACAGCTAGAGTCCACTGTATCCTCTGACATTTCAGAACTCTTTCCCTTTCTATATCACCACACCAGCTTATACAAACTGACTCCCTCTTCATTTCCTGCTTCAGCTGCCACCCCTAAACCGAAAGCCAGGTCCATCTTACATCTTCTCTGTAACTCCCTTCCATGCTCACAAAGCCTGATTCTTTCATATTCTGTTACCGCCATTTACTGTTATTCCATCCTTCTTTACTTGCCATTCATTTCTACCGTCTGTCCATCCTTAATGCCCCACCTCCCCTCGTCTCTTCCTCTTGCTTCAGTCATGCTCCTAGGAACCTCAAACCCCCATGAACAGGACCTTATTCTGAGCTAAGAGCTCAAAGGAGACAAGCTGTAAGAGCCAGGAATTCTACTGATTTGACTCAAACCGAGGCCCAGACCAAGTTTATTGCATCTGTGATACAGCTCCCCAGCAGAGCAGCAAGTTACTCCTGTATGGGTCTCAAGGTAACACCAGCTGCCTCTGACATCATGGAGGGAGGAACCCTGTCAGGTTTCCAAGGCAACACCAGCAATTTATGACATCAGAGGCTTGAGATCTTTGGTTCTCAGGGGGCTGGAGAGATTCAAGTTCCTGTCAGTTAAAGTAAATGGAAATGCTACTCTTTTTTCATCTCTTTGCTCATGTTCTCCTGGCTTAGGAATGAAGTGCAAAGGCTTTCTATGATGTAGTAAGTGATGAGGTCACTGGAATAAACACTGAGGGGTTATTGCTCCCTCTCTCTTCACCCCATGTCTCTACACCTGCCTTCTCTCACTTGACATCTCTTTCTTTGGGGGCTTTGCCCAGTGGTATTTTTACTATGTCTTTTTTTTAAATTCCCAGTCGCCCCTCCTGCAGTTCTCTCTTTGCATCAGTCACGCTGTGTCCTTCTCACATTGAGGCATTTGTTTCCTTTGATACCTGGTCCTCGCCTTTTTCCCCCTGCCATGCTCTGTGCAGCTCTGATCTGCTCCAACACTCCTCCTTTTACAATCCATTTACGTTCTTTGTACCACACTCCCCATCTCATCTTATTCATCCATTTCCTTCATTATATATTGCTTTATCTGTTGACCACCGCTTGACAAATCTATCATTTTTTTCTCCCTCTTCCCCTCTGTATAGCTATTAACTCATGTTTCATTTCATTCTCCCAGTTTTTCATTAATCACACAACCATTCAGTTTCTACCCTGCCCCCCAAGCCGCATAGATTTTCTTCCTTTCCTTTGCACATTGCTCACATCAGGCATTTCTCTACCCCATGTGTTTATTGTACTCAGCCTCCCCTTCTCCTCTGTTATTCTGTTCACCTTTGAAATCTTCCATCTTCTACCTATATCTACCTTCTCCTTTTACCCTTTCAAGCTGTTCAAGGTCTAGAAAAACGATGACACACTTAAGACCAAAGTAAACTCTCCAAACCCTTTATCTACCTTTACCATTCTTTAGGCTGAATGGATTCCAGCCCCTTGCATAAGAAAGCATTTATCACACTAATAAAAACTGCCTAGTAAATAATTGTGTGGAATCCAAATATGATAATAGGAGCTGAAAGAGAGAATGGGCTCAGGAAGATGATGAACTGGAAAGTAAAGAGAAGTCACTGAATGCAGAATGAACCAAAACATGAGAGCAACCAGGCAGAATGTAGCTCTGAATTCTAGAGAATGTCCCCTTACAAAATCAAAGTTGACAGTTAACTGACATAATGTTACAGGCTAGTGAAGGGGTTATATGCCCCTGGAAGCCCATTAAATTGATTTCTTGGCCTGTTTATGTGCCTTCACAAATCATGGTTCTCACCTCCTCTGGCCCTTTGCTCTCTGGTACCACAAATGCTGAGGTCAAAATGCTAGGTAAAAGGATAAGGGTTAAAAAAAGAACTTGGGTGATCAAAGAGAAAAGGTAGGAAGAGGGTAGATTATGGGAACAAAGGTGGAAAATAAGGAGTCCTTGAGAGAGAAGGATGGAAAAGAACGGGTGAGACAAATGGGAGATGAAAAAATATACAATGGTAATTGGGGGGAGGGAGAAAAATTAAGTCACCAAGGAAAAGATTTGTGGTGGAAAGCTCCTGGAGAAATGGATAACACACAGGAGACTAGAAGACAAGGTCCTGAAGGGAGAGACAGGCACATGGCAAAAAGCAGTCAACAATGTTGGGAAGTTCCGAAGCCTTAGGGGTAAAGGTAGAAGAGGAGGCCATCCTGGCCTGACTGAAAGAGTACTGGAGGCCTTGGAGGAGACACATCTCTCATCTCTTCCATATCCCTGGTCTTCCTTGACCTCTGACCAGTGACAACCACAATCATGACTCATAAGCAAACTCCGAAGTAGCCTCGAAAGGTCAGCGATATCCACAAGGACCCTGAAGGAGAAGGCTTGGGGTCCAAACCAGGAGAATGGTAGGCAGCCAAGGCATGACACATAGTGGCATGGACACAGAGGGAGAGGTTCGTTCAAATGGGAAGGGTCACAGATATCTGAAGATGGATGGATGGAGAATAAAAAAACCAACAGGCAGGGACACATGGGCAGAAAGCTGCAGGACTACAGACTCACGAAAAAAAATGTAGTGAAGTGTTAAAAAATGATAAGGGTACTAAGTGAAGGGAAGATGAAAAATAGATCTAGAGTTGGGGGCCCGTACAGACATGCTTCACCTTAGAGATGTGGTCTCCCAGTACCTACTCGCACCGTCCCACTCTATTAAAAGCCCAACTTCTGGCAAAAATGAAGATCAAGGGGATCCATGGTTCCCATACCCCCACCCCAGCGCGACAGCCCATCCATCAGCCGGCCCTCGGCGGTTCCAAGCCTTCTTCCGCGGCCGAGACCCTAGCCCCTTCCGCCTGACAGTACCAAGCCCCCACACTCACCCGGCCTCCCCTTCCCTTTGGGACCCCTGTTCCCTGCACAGCTCCGCACGGTCCGTCTAGGCTTTCGTTACTCCGTCTGTCCAGCTGGCTCCTGGTCCAGCCTCGATGCCCTTCCCTTTCCCCGTTTCTCCCTCCACCCCTGCATCTCTCTCTTCCCTCCATCCCCGCCCGCCCGCCCGCATGTCCTCTCCCTTCCACACCCCTGCCCCTCCTCCTCTGGCTCTCGGTTTGTCTGTCTGTCCGTGCCCCCTCCCCCAGCCCCTCTCTGTCCCTCTCCGTCCCCGCCAGCGGCAGTCTCCGAGCGCCTCCTCTCCCTCTGTCTCGAGCTTCCAAAGAGCAACGAAGGAAAGAAGAGAGAGGGAGAGGGGGGAAAAAACACACCAACCCAGCAGCATCGGAAATCGATGCACTTACACCTCCGCTGGAAGCAGGGACGGGAGTCGAACCGCGGCCGCCGAGCAGCGCGAGTCGGGGAGGGGAGGGGGCGGCTCTTGGAAGGGACTTCTCCGATGTGTTGATTCCTTATTTTCCCCTCCTCCTCCCTCCCTCCAGCGCTCGCTCCGGGGCGTCGGGGACGAGATGGAAAAAATAAATAAATAAATTCGCGGCGGTGAGGGAAGTGAAGGAAAATAATCAATGCTATTTGGCTGCGGCTGAAGTGTTTTCCCGGCTTCGTGAGGGGGTTTCCATTGATTCACCCTGGGCACTCTCTCTCCCTGCCTCCTCCTCCTCCTCCTCCTCTTCGCCCTCCTCCTCCTCCTTGCCCTCACTCCTCCGCCTCATTCACTGGCTGGAGCCGAGGCGTCCCACACAATGGAATAATCAATACCCAGGCGCCCGGGGCGGCCCCACTGAGCAGGTGCAGCGGCCCGCCCGCCGCGGCGCTTGCCGGGAGATGTAGTCCATCCGCCCCCGCCGGCCGCCTGGGCTTGGGGGCCGAAGCCCATACTGGAGCTGCACGGGGGCTGAGGCTGCCGCAGCGGCTTGGGCCCAGCACAAGGGCAGGTCATTCCTTGATTTTGTCATCAAGTCCATTCCAGTGACCCACCAACAGGGCAGGCTCCTTTAAACTCCTGTTTCCTCCTCACGCCTACAGAAACCATACATTTGTTTTGTTTTAAATGAACTCTAGAGCAAACAAGCCCTGGCTTCTACCAGCCCTTCAGAGCTGCCTGAAGCCTCTCCCTCCATCCCCCCCTCCACCCCGCCTCTCCCTTCTTCCTGTTTTATTATTTCCCCCCCCTTCTGATTGGGTTCTAGAACTCTCTGCAGCAATTCTTCTAAAGTCTCCCACAGCTTCTAGAGCTTCTATCTCCACTCGCCTTCACTTAGTGAATGGGGAGGGGGAATGTTACTTGTTCTTCAGTCCATCAGCTCTTCTGCCCTCTCCTATAGCCTAAATAATAATGGCTAAGAGTGCGTGTGCAGGCACAGTTCAAATGCTTTTACATATATTAAGCTTTCCCCCCCCCCTTCATACTGCTGTGAGATTGTTGTTTGTTGTTATGTGCCCTTGAGTTGCCTGCGACTCATAGCAACCCTATGTACAACAGCCCTAAACCCTCCTGTATCCTGTACCAATCCCACTGTCTCTGGCACACCTACCCCGAATACCCCATTCACTGAATCAATCCACCTCATAGAGGGTCCTTCCTCTCCAGCGCTGTCCCTCCACCTTCCCAAGCATGACATCCTTCTCCAAGGATTGGTCCCTCCTTGCAACATGTCCAAAGTATGTTAGAGAAAGCTTCAGAATCCTTGCCTCCAAGGAGCAGCCTGGTTTAACCCTCTCTAGAATTATCCTTTTCATTTTCTTAGCAGTGCATGGTATATTCAATACTCTTCAACACCACAACTCAAAGGTATTATTCATTAGTCCCTTGCTGAAACTGAGGAGGACCTGAAGCACTTGCTGCAGAAGGTCAAGGGCTTTAGTCTTCAATATGGATTAAAGCTCAACATCAAGACGACAAAGATTCTCTCCACTGGGAAAATTGATAGCACCATGATGGATGGAGAAAAGATTGAGGTTGTTTAAAGTTACAGCCTGATTGACTCCACAGTTAACATTCCTGGCACCAGCAGTCAGGAAATCAAAAGAAGAATTGCACTGGCAAAAATATGTCAAGGAACTCTCCAGGGTACTGAGAAGCAAGGATGTCAGTCTAGAGACTAAGGTGTGCCTGATTCAGGCTGTGGTCTTCACAATTACTTGCTATGCATCAGAGAGCTGGGCAATGACTAAGGATGACAGAAGAAGAATTGATGCCTTTGAGTTGTGGTGCTGGATAAGAGTCTTGAACATATCATGCCAAGAAAACAATAGGTCTGTCTTGGATATGGTGAAACCAAGTTTCTCCTTGGAGGCTAGAATTTTGAAGATTATGTTTCACATACTTTGGACATGTGTCCAGGAAGGACCAATCCTTAGAGAAGGATATCATGCTCAGGGGGGTGGGGGTGGGGTGAAGGGACAGCGCAGGAGAGGAACATCCTGGACGAGATGGATTGACACAGTAGAGCAATGGGGGTAGGTGTGTCGGAGTCAATGAGACTGGCTCAGTACATAGCAGGCTTCAGAGTTGTTGTATATAGGGTCACTATGAGCTGCAGGTGACTCCATGGCACATAACAACAACAGTCCCATTTTACAAATTAGGAAACCAATGTACAAATAATTAATTGGTCCTAGCTCACCTCGTAAGTGGCAGTTCCCAGATTTAAACCTCTGTAATCAGGGAACTCTGGTACTTTGGTGGTAAATAGTTAGAATCCATGAGCTGCTCCATGGTACAAAGGTAGGCAGTCTCCTCCTTAGCAATTTACAGCCTCTGAAAACCTGCTGGAAGGTCAATTTTGAGTTAGGTCAGATCAATGGCACATAAGAAGTCTAACTCCACAGGCTATATTAACTGCTACAGTCTGCTTTTAAAAAAGAAACATGATAAGGTTCACAGGGGGCAAAAGGAAGAGAAAGAAAATCAATATCTGACTCTACTATGTATCAGATGGTCTGCCATATGTTCACACATTTAACTGGGAAGCAGACCACATTTAGCATGCCCAAGGCCAAGTACCTAGAAAGTGGAACTGTGGACTCCAGGGACAGCTGTCTACAGTCTCTGGTCTTTCCGTTACATTGTTGTTGTTAAAGTCCATCGAGTTGAGTATATCTCATAGAGACCATATGAGCAACAGATTGAACCCCAACCTATCCTGTGTCATCCTCACAATCTCTGGCGCACCGGAGCCCATTGCTGCAGTCATTGTGTCAGTCCTCCTGGTTGAGGGCCTTCTTCTCTTTTGTTATCCCTCCACCTTTCATAATAGCCCCTCCAAGGAATAGTCTCTGCTGGCAACATGCCTAACAAAATACATCTGAATATCATTTTAAAATGGCTAGAACAGCACATAGAGAACTGCCAGACATTCAAGCTGCATTTAGAAAAGGTTGTGCCATTAGGGCTATCATTGCTAATGTCAGATAGATCCTGGTGTAAAGCAAAGAATATCAGAAGAATGTTTATATGTCCTTTATTGACTATGCAAAGGCATTTGTGTATATCATAACTAATTATGGCTAACCTTCTTGCCGTAGATAAATGGGAATCCCAGAACACTTTAATCATGCTCATGTGAAATCTATACCTAGACCAAGAGGCTGTTGTGCATTCAGAGCAAGGGAGGGGCACTACATGGTTAAAATTAGAAGAGATGTGTGTCAAGGTTGTATCCTTTCTCCATATCTATTTAATCTCCATGCTGAGCAGACGAATTGAGAAGCTGGACTCTGTGAAGAAGAAAGTGGCATCAGGATTGGAGGTAGACTAATCAAGAACCTTCATTATGCTGATTATGCAAACTTTCTGCTAAAAGTGAGGAGGACCTAAAACCATTGCTGTAGAAGAACAAAGACTGCAGTCTACAATATAGATTACATCTCAATGTCAAGAAAATAAAGATCCTCACCTCTGGACCTAGAGGCAGTGTCATGATAGATGGAGAAAAGATTGTCAACGACTTCATCTTACTTGGATCCATAATCAGTGTACTTAGAACTAGCAGTCAGGAGATCAGGAAACATATTGTACTGGGAAACAGGTATACAGGGCCCTTTTCAAATTGTTGAGGAGCAATAATGTTAGTTAGGCAAAGCTGTTGGAACTTAGTCATATATACTTTGGGCATGTTGCTAAAAGAGGTTATACTTTGGAGAAGTACATCATGCTTGGAAAGGTGGAGGGACAGTGAAGGAGAGGAAGAGCCTCAGCCAGGTAGGGAGATACAATCACTCTAGCAATGGGCTTGAGTGTGTTAAAGATTGTGAGGATGAAACAGAATAGGACAGGGTTCAGATTTGTTCATAGGATCATTATGAGTGGTGCTCGACTTGACAGTACTGAACAACAATGACAACAGCAACATGTCCAAAGTATGCAAGAGGAAGTTTTGCCATTTGCCTCCAAGAGGCACTCTGGCTGCACATTCTCCAAAATGTATGTTTGTTCTCTTGTCAGTCCATGAGATGTTCTGCACTCTTCTCCAACACTGCAAACCAAAGGCATTAATTATTCTGTCATTCTTAGTCACTGTTCAGCTCTTAGATGAATAGTAAGTGATTAAAAAAACCATTGTTTGAATCAGACACACCTTAGTCCTCAAACTAACATCATCGCTCCTCCATAATTTGAAGAGGGCCCTGACTGCAGACATTCCCAGTCTGCAGTATGTCTCCTGATCTTCTGCCTGGTAGTACCAAGTATATTGATTGTGGATCCAAGTAAGATGAAGTCATTGAAAGTCTCAGTCTTTTCTCCATCTGTCATGCTGTTGCCTGTTGGTGCAGTGGTGAGGTTTTGTTTGTTTGTTTTTTACAGTGGGCTGCAATCCATCCCACTTGGGTTGACTTTAATAATGCCAAAGAGTTCAGGTCTTCTTGAAGCAGCAAAATTACAAAGCAAAGAGAGATTAAAAAGTAAGGTAAATAGGGGAGCTCTGGTGGCGTTGTGGCAAGAAGCTGCACTGCAATACAAGAGGTACGTGGTTCAAATCCACCAGATGGAGAAGGAGGGGCAATCTCCTCCTGTACCAGTCAGATCCCACTTGTCGATAAACACACACAAAACAATAATAAAATAAAATGTTAAGAAAAAAGTAAGGTAAATAGAAACAATTAGGAGCTGAGAAGCCCGTCCCCCCTCTATGCCAAATGGTACTTAGCATGGCATAAAGTGTTAGGATACATTCACAGCATCCGAAATTCAAGATATCATGTCTACCACCTGACTGCCACTGAGAGACCATCATGGATACCAGCCACGTGCAGCCTATCAAGCTGGCCAGAGTCACCCAACATATTGGGCAGGACCAGTTCACACAAGGACAGTGCATACAGGCGCATATGGAGTTCATGAATGACACAAGCCACTCCATCATCCACAACATGAAAGTGCCAGTGAATGAGGGGCACTGCTAGAGCTCTGCTAGTGCTTGCCCTGCTAGAGTTAGAATAAGAGGTATGGAGGCTGCGTTGTGGCTACCACCAAATCCTGGATGTCTCTTTTACTGCCTGGACTATGGGGATGATCTTCATTGTTCATCAAAACCTATGTGGTAATTGTACAACCATTTTGGAAGGCAGTTTGGTGTTTCCTCAAAAAGCTGAGCATAGAAATTCCATATGACCCAGCTGTTTCATTGCTTGAAATATACC